CTGTGCTATGTGCTCTGGGATGACCCTGCTTAAGCAGGGAGGTTGGACCAGATGACCTGCTGTGGTTCCTTCCAACCTTACCCATTCTGTGATTCTTTATTCAGCAATTAACAATGTGGATATTCTGTATAATATAGCAAGTCTGCTAACTTAACATACCATTTAATGGTATAGAAACTGCTGATACCTACCAAGACACAGTTTAAGTTTCAAATTTTTACGTTTCTGTTTAATGGCTCATAAAGACTGTTTCATTTATGATAACTTTTAAAAGAAATTGACTTTTTATTTGAACTTTACAGGGAGTTTGACTTGATGGTCTTTAGTGGTCCCTCCCAACTTGAGATGTTCTGTGATTCCATGAACTTTTATCAACATGAACATTTGGGAAGAATTTTTTGAATAGTCTGGTCTGTTGTGGGTTTTTTTCCTATGTAGTGGAATATATGAGAACAAAACCCAGGAAACTGTCCTTTCTAGCATAAACCCCAGTGTAACTGCTAATAACAATATATCTGAGATATTGGGAAGGTTCTTTATAGTTTTGTAAGTCTGTCAGTATCCCTGGGGAAGATATAATTTGTAAAAGAAAAAACAGTAATATTTATCTCAGACCCTTTTCATCTTGATAGTTAGTCTTTATAATGGAAGTATTAATGCATGTATGCTAAGGCTTACTGTCAAGGATTAACACTTAGTTGTGCAAACACTTCTTCATATTTCAGGGATTTGTTGGAAAAGATTGGCTTGCTTACACATATTGTTCTTGAAATGTACTCTTCTGGAAATTAAACTAATCTAAGCCATAACCAGATCTCCAGTTATTGCAATAGTGTAACCTGAAGTAATTTAGTTAAATCTGAAACAGAGGTCAAGGCTTTTGCGGCTGACAGCTGAATTTGGGTCTCTGTGTAAATCAAGCTACTGTACAACAAAGGCCATACTACTTGCTTTGGGAGTGAATATTTAAAACACTCAAATTATCTTGTTGCTGTGCTACTGCGTCAATAGAAAAAAAATACTATTCAGTTTGGGACCATTGTTTAAGAAGAGGGTGTGGAAATCCTGTTCTGCAGTAAGGAACAACTGCAAAATAATTCTGTTGATAATAAGTGAAAGTTAAGAAAGGAAAACAAAATCCACCCACCAAAACCCAAGCAACTCTGTGGCTTTCCCTATACCAATCTACTATTTCTAAACAAGATAAGTTTGAAATTTCTTTAACTGATGAATATGTAATCTTTTAAATTTAATGTGGGTGGCTGAAATTGTTTACATTGGCATTTAAAGCATTCAGTTCACTATAGAAGATGTAGGACAGCCCAATGACGTCCTGAGATTTCTTGGTTTATTTTTGAGGGGAATTAATTTTCTTCAGGATTAGTTCAGATACTGCTGTGAAGGCTGTGTCAGATTCTGCCTGATAGCCATAGGCACTCTAAATAGACAAACAAACAAACAAATCAAAATACCAACATGATGATCAGTTTATGGAATGGCAGTTTAATTTCCCGATTGGCTTGCCAAACTCTGCTCTCTCAAGAAAGGATAGGAAGGGAAAAGCAACAGTTATTTCTGACATGGCCCTAGGTAATTATATTCTTCTTCATCAGACAAGAATGTGCATGCTTGACTGCACAATTCAGAAATTAAAGGTTGCTGCACTCGTTTGAAAGGCATGTTTTCTTTTGGGGTTTGTGCCACCATTTAGAATAATCTTTGTCTCGTTTTAGCTGTGATCCTCTCTTGGGGAATCAAGGGGAGTGGGTTTTTTAGCTGTATTGATGAAGATACAGCTGATCAAAAATACAGTAGTGCACTTTTTTAGTGCAAAACTGAAAGGAAATTTCAATGGGCTTTCAATTAAAATTTTCTTGTAATACAGTAATAGAGAGAGCAGAGCAGAACACATGGGAAAAGGTCCTACTGGAGTAATTCCCTTGTTTAAAGCACACTGAGCCAAAGTGACATCATGTTTCACCAATGAACACAGCATTAAATGTGAGGTAGATGTCAGACCTTGTCCCTGCTACGTGATATCAACTTGAGTGTGCCCTAGGGAGCTGCCTGATGCTAGACTGAGGCAGGAACACTGAGACTGGTGACCTTGGTCACTATCCCATAGGAAGGTGGAATAAGAGCCTGTTCTTAAAAGAAGGAAGGACTTCAAATTCCCCTCCCCTTCCATCCTCAAATTTAAATGCCTTGTCTCTACCTGCAAAACACTGGAAGTGTGCATGGGAGGCAATTCTCTGCTCATAAATCATCTTTACAGTGTGAAGCTTTTCCCCTGTGCATGGCAGAGGACACAATTTACTGGCTCTTACAGGATGTAGAGGTGGCCCAATGAGTTTCACTGGAAGATGAATGAGGACCAAATTTGTCAAACACAGTTATTTAACACTGAACTCAAATTCAGGAATTTAAATTAAAATTGCTTGGTTTTCTGGGCACTGAACTTGTACTTTCTGCAGCAGCTGTACATTTTGTGGGTACTTACCTGACTGTTGTGGTTTAACACCAGCAGGTATATACCAGACATGATGTTCTATGTGTGGAGTAACACTTTGACCAGTTATGGCCAGCTCTTCTGGCCATTTTCCCTCCTGGCTTCTTGTGCATTTCCTCACTGTCAGAGTAGGGGAAACTGAAAAGTCCTTGATTTTGGGTAATAACTACCAAGCAACAGCTGAAACAGCAGTGCGCTATCAATGTTGTTCGTATGCTAAATCCAAAACACCTCACTGTACCAGCTACTAGAAAGAAAATGAACTCTATCTCGTCCAAAAGTAAGACACTGACTTTAAAATGGGACTTCTGTGTTTAAAGTGCTAAATATGCATCTTGACAACCAATTCCTTAATACTAAAATTGGAAAATTCTGGCTTAGGCTGTCTATGCAGGAATTTTTTTTGTTCTTCATTTTGTATTTGCACAGCTCTGCTAATTAGGCATTTAACAAAAAAACCCCTGATAATAAACTTCTCCAACTCAGACATACAGTACCTTACAGCAGATTAGTGGGATTTGGGGAGACCTCCAGGCCTTAGGATGCTGGCCCCATAACCTGTGAGGTGAATGCCCTTCCCCCCACCCCTGCATGTGATCCGGTGACCCCGCAAGGAGCACACACAGACCACCAGAGAGGGACGGATGAAAGAGAAAGTTTATTGTGGGGTTGGGGTTTATAAGGCTTTTAGGAGGGTCAAAGGGGGCCAATCACAAGTTCAGGGTCACACAGAAAAAACCATCAGGTAAAGGGTCAACAACCAATAGAAAGGGGTCAACAAGGGACCAATGAGAAACACCTCAGGACACCTTCCCAGGACACCTTGTGTGAGACAATAGCTTCACAGGGGGTGTCGGGAAGAAGGAGACAGTGACACTGCAGAAAATACACAAACATGTTGCAACATGTTTAAACTACAGTAAAAACTTCTGTCTCTATAACATTTGAGCTGTTTTCCTCACCAGTCCATCTGACAGGACTTTTTCCATCCTGCATATGGCAAATCCATTGCCACATCTCCTCCTTTTTTGTTTTCTAAAGCTGGATATGCTTTTAATGATGGAGAGGTTCTGGCACAACTGAGAAAGCATGGAAAGACACACATAAAGAGAAACACTACGAAAAGTCCTTGTAAGATAACTACAATAATTTTCTTAATAGTGGAAGAGAGGCCTTTGAAAGGCAGCCAGCCGAAAAAATCATCAAAAGTCAGAGGATCAGCTTGCTTGATTTCATGAACTAAGGATTTAAGCTTATTAATCTGGGAGTCGATAGATTGGGAGTGATCAGAAAAGTTGAGGCAGCAGAGGCCTTCAAACTCTTGACACCCATGGCCATTTACTAGAAGGAGAAAATCTATTGCAGCACGATTTTGTAACAAAGCTTTCTTATTGGTTTGGGTATCTTGCAATAGATCATCAAGGGCAGCGCTGGTGGCATTAGCTTCTTTGGCTAGCCAACATCCCATTCTGGTAAGGAGAGTTAAAGCTTTTGTGGAGCTGACAATTGGAAGTATACCACTTAGAATGTTTGCGGTGTCTGACCAAAAATGCATGTTGGAGTTGCATTCTGCTGTGAATTCACTCAAGGACTGTAATTTTGCTAAAGGATGTTCTTCAACTGGAGGTGGGGGTATTGCAGCCACAGGGACCTGTGCTGCTTTAGGTGGAGAAAGGGGTTTTGGTTGTGATGGATAGAAGTTAAGAGGTGGGTGTAAACCTTGGAATTGCCTGCGCACTCTATGATGTGAGAAGGGTGAAGTTGTTTGGAGGTTACTGTTTCTTTTTGCACGATTTTTGGGAGGCCTTACAGGTAAAGATTTCATAAGGGTAGCTGGATTGTACAGTGCTAACTTTCCAAATGTGCAGGGGCCTCCAGCAGCTAACCTAGGAATCATATTCCAGACTCTAAGTCCACAAATTAAAAAGACTCCTTTTGGAAGAATAACCGAATCAGGGGTAGCATGTATCTGGTAAGGAACCTCTTCCTTGCACCAGAAACTAAAATTGGAATAAGGTCCATAAGAGGTGACATTAATTAATTCAGGAGGGGCAACATATTTGTTGTGAATAAAGTAAAAACAGAGAGGAGACATAATACTCCCCAAGATTTCTAATTCCTCAGGTCTCTGCCACTGATAGCTAAATATCTGTCTGTCATGTGAAGTTTTTGCTGGTCTTGTGAGACAGTCCAAGAATGGATTCCTGCCTGAACTGATCGTGGTCATCACACCAGGGGATATACTGATTTCTAAAATCACCCCATTCTCTGGGTGTCCAGGGGATTCCTACCAGACAGGTCTTAAAAGGGTGAGAGGGATCTAAGGTAGAGAGACAGATAGAGTCAGTATTTAATGATTGTGCCAGATTGAGCCAAACATTTTGGCCAGAGAGCATTACCCAATTTGGAATTGTTGGATGAGGTGTGGCAAGGGCTCCTGACATTAGATCTTTCTGTTTTGCTGGTGTTATGCTGCACGCAAAAAACAGGATTATCCCGAAGATGATGCTGATGAGGGATCGCTTCCTGTAGTTGGTGCTGAATCTGTTGGTGCTGGATCTGCTGCTGGTTGAGCTGGGAGGGAAACTTCTTGGTGGATTCTTACTAGTCTGGACGGTATCCATTTTGGACCTGCTCCTGTGGAGACACAAGCATGTCCTCTCCCCCAAACAATTAGAGGGACAGGACCAAGCCATTCTCCT